CTTGTTTAGTCACATCTAGTTGCTGACGGTGGCAGGGAGGAAGCTGTTTTGCTACATTTTGTTGAGTGTTTTGACTGTTTTTCTAAGAATGGCAAGTTTATGGTTTTCAAATTAGTTTTTGAAAATTTCAAAGTCAGATGCTAGAAGAACTTGAAGTCCAGTTCTCCTAACATTGTTTCTTTATTCATGAATGCAGAAATGATAATAAAACAACAAATGCCCCTGCAGCTCGACCCATCAATGAGAGATACCGGCCTGTGCCTTTGTTTTCTCCTATACTATTACCCACTGCACATGCTATGGTATGTTGCTATATATCTATCCTCCCGAGACTTAAAAGGTTTACATACACAAAATAATGATTTCATACAGTGTGTCTGACAAAACCTATCAGAGCTAAATGCTCCCAACCATAAGATTAGTTAACTGATGAGACCATACCAAGCCAGTTCATTGATCTAATGGCTGGGAGCATTTGCACCTAGCAGATTTAGTTAGATGTGCCTTATGATATCATTACTCTATGTGTGTGTATGTGTGTATGTTCGTGTGTGTGTGCTTGGTTGGAAAAGAGTTGTAAATCAATTCAATAAAGTGTTGCAATTCAACATGAGTTGAGTTCACATTATGTAACACTTAGCTTAGTGCATTAAAATTTACAGAGCAGTCCTTTTCCCATCCACGCTAGCTGCGGAAAGATAAAAACCATGTTTTTTAATTACTTGCTCGTTTACCTTATTACAGGCAATGCGGACGATCTTGCAGTTGGGTTTGAAGCCATCATGGTTCAATACATTTGGTCCAACCATGGTTAAAGGGCATTATGATTTTAATGAAACTCCCTCGTCCACCAGTGATCTTTGCAGTTACATGTTGCACTCCTCGTGCATTGGTGACTCTGTCGTTCCCGAGATGCTTCTTAAAGTGTTGGAGCCTTATCGCAGAGAAGGTGTGTTCTGATTCTATGTCTTAGGAATTGTTTATCTGAACCTTCCAATATATTTGTGAAAACTACATTGATAGTAACTGCAACTTTTAGTAACATTTCATTGCATGTGCCCAAGGCTGCATACTCGATAATGAGATGGTGAGGCTATATTGTAGTATAGTCAACAAAGGTTGTGTAGTAAGACTTGCATTTGCCGCTGCTTTATTTGGAGAACCAATGGAAGCACTTTTCTGGCTGCAATTACCTGATGCCATTAACCACTGGATGAAGAAGTTGGTTAACAAGTCTCCAATAAAAGTTTCTCAGTCAGCTACCCAAGAACTTGATGAGGCAACTATGCTTAATCGGATATCATCAAAAGGAAAAACAGCATCTGAATCACAAGAACGAAATGAGGTGATTAGTCATCTAACTTGTTAGCAATAAACTCTAGGCACTTCCAACCCTAGTATAATTTAATCATCTTGCATAATGGTTTTGAGATAACTTATCATAAGTGTTTTCTCGTATAAGCACAAGTTGATACTCGATATCCAATTCAGTCCATAGACTATACACTACTCCCTCCATTCACAATTAACTGACCATTATGAATTTTGTGATACATCAAAAGTTGAGTGAACCTAGACATAATGTATATCAATATCCATTCAACTTTTGATATATCTCAAAAGTCATAATGGTCAGTTCAATGTGAACAAAAGGAGTTTTACTTAATTTCTTCATCAATTTTATCTGTAACTATGAAATTTGGACCCAATATAGTTTTATTCATATTTGACTCTAAATAGACAAACTAAATTCAGTCCAAATTAGATAGAGGACCAAATCGAGTCCAGAAGAAAGTCAAGGACTAAATTTAATAATTGCATAGTTGATCGACTAAACTGGCAGCTCCGGGTAGGGGTAAGGTTTGCATACAAACACTCTCCGGAGACCCCACACAATGGGATTTTACTAGGTCTGTTATTGTTGTTGTTGTTGTTGTTGTTGTTGTTGAGAGACTAAACTGTGTCTAAAATATTTAAGCACTTGAAGTGATTTAAAAAAAAATGCCACTTTCATATATAAGCATTAAAAGTTTTTTTTACTCTTAAATAACCTTTTCCATTTTCCATCCAAATGATCTTATGAACTAAAAGTATTTATTTTCCTCTAAAAAGAACTTATTCCCTTGAAAGAAGTCCATCCAAAATGCACTCTATTACTGCCTCCATGTCTTTGTAAATGAGTGAATGACCTTGAGTGTGAGCTGGTTATTTGTCTGGCAGGGCAAAAATAAATTGAGGTTGATGGCTTTTGAAGAAGAAGAGTTACTGAAGTGTGCTAAGGAGCGTATCCTTTGGCATGAGAAACTTGAGGGTGAAGAGGCTATTCAAAACCGTGTTCATGAGTGAGTGCTCATCACTTGGTTACCCATAACCTTTTCATTTGTTATGTTACAGTTTGTATGCTCCAGGGTAATGGTACTATGTGTCGGGGTTGATCAGATCATCAGACTAGTCTCACCACCTATCTCTATAACTTACCTTTATTTGTGGGCACGTTAGAACGACTATTTTGTGGAATATATAAATCCTAATTTTTGTAGTGTAAGAGTTTGCAGTACAAGGTCATTATACACACATTTTCTATTATACTTAAATAAATCATTTTTATCCAACCAATATCAAAAGAAATTTATTTTGGGGAATGTGATGGAAAATTCATGAGGTGGGAATCAAATAAGCAATTATTTACATGGCAGAGCAATGGTGGCTAATTTGGTATACTTGATGAATGACAAGTAACCACTTCAGTATTTCAGGGGTTAATCTATCATGTAGGATAAAATGTAGGGACAATAGAATAAATAAAGAAACAATTAGGAATAGTGCTCAGCTAAGAATTATTTAGCCAACTGAAGGAAATTTCTGACATTGCCCTGCCACGTGAATACTCACTTGTTCTATATATATTTTAGCTGGCAGTCACACAATGCATTATGGATATTAATGTTCAATAATCATTTTTTAATCTAATATTTTATTATGTTTGTTGATTATCAGACTTGTGTCTGTTGGAAACTTAGAAGCTGCTGTTAGTTTACTGCTGTCAACTCCTCCAGATAGCTCATATTTTTATACAAATGCATTGCGTGCCGTTGCTCTTTCATCTGCGGTGTCACAGTCTCTACTTGAACTTGCTGTGAAGGTACGTGTTTCTCTAATTGCTTCCTTTATGCTATTAGCATACTCTGATGTTGGATTTCTTGTGTCATCTTTCCTAACCGCTATACTTCTACAGGTTGTTGCTGCAAATATGGTTAGAACAGACAATTCATTATCTGGTACACACCTGCTCTGTGCAGTTGGGAGATATCAAGAAGCTTGTTCTCAGGTGTTGTGTCCCCATTTCCCTATATAACAGCATTTGGTATTTAAAAAATACCCCCTACGTCCCAAACAAAAGTTACACTTACTATTCTTTCTAGGGTCACAATTTTCATTGATCATTTGATAAAATAAGTCGCGTCACCTCTTGTTTGTAGAACTTTTGACGAGATTTTTTAAATTTGTAAGTTTTATATTTTATTTCTATATCATTTTTTAAATAAAATGAATTAAAAAAACACTTCATTTTACCTCCTAATTCCCTCCGTAACTTTTATTTGGGGATGGAGGGAGTATATATGTTGCTTCTGGGCTAATGTTACATAGGAAAGAATATGTCCAGTTTTCCTGTCATTATTTGAGATTGAACTAGGAAAAAAGTTCATATTTCCACTTGTCACCCTTTTACACAGGACATGTTTGATAAAAATCACTGTGATGAGCAATATCTTTATTAAAGCCACATTTTGGAGCAGCAATAACAATTTAAGGAGTATCAATATTCACTTCCTAAATTGTTGGCATTTTACTAAGCTATCAAATCTTTTTTAAAAGTGCTAACTCCTTGTCAAACATCTTAGTACAAACTGCTAACTGATGTTTGCCAAATCTGCTAACATATTCTGTTTTGTACTAATATTTAAAATATATGGGCATGAGCCATATTGTATGTGTAATACTCCCTTTGCCCAAAAACTTTATTTCAATAACAGAAAGCGGTTTAGAAAGTCAATTTTAATTTTTATGTGAAATTTCTTTAAAGTCAAGCGGTTTAGTCAATTACTGCAAACAATCTTAGAAATAAGTTTTAGGGATCTAAGTGACCATTCATAACTTGTAAATGCTTGTCCTTTGAGTGGACTAAAGGTAAAATGTTGTTCCACACTTAAAATGTCAACCCATACCTTTTTTTTGGGACAGAGTGGACTAAAGGTAAAATGTTGTTCCACACTTATTGTTTCTACGGATTAGAAAGCTAGAACTGAAGTCGACAGAGACTTGGGTGGTGTGCTGTTTTATGAATTTCTCACATATTACTAGCTGATTTTTAACTGCTCTCTAAATGTCAGCTACAAGATGCTGCATGTTGGACAGATGCTGCAACATTAGCTGCCTCTCATTTACAAGGATCTGATTATGCCAGGTTGTCTGCGTCTCTATCTTATTAAAGTAAATTCACAAGTTAGATCTCTAATTAACTTTTTCATTGTTAAGTTTTAATAAGGTATTCAGAAATACTTCTCCATCCCAGGATACAGTTCATGTTTTCCCGTTTGGTCTTACCAAAATAAGTTTCTTCTTTCTGATTCAAGAAATAACGTGGTTCACATTAATTGTCTCTCTTCTAAATAAATCTCAGCCTTACAATTTTACTCCTTGATAAGAGTGCTAAGGTCAAACTAAGAACATTATTTTGGGTTGGAAGGAGTATGATCAAATGTACTATCTTAGCACCACATATTTATTACTCTTTTTACGGTCATGTTTCATGATTTGCATGCTGATTATACATAAATGATCATGTAATGAGATACGACTAACATTCATCTGAAGTTATTGTCATCTCATTTTTATTTCCATATTCAAGCTTAAATTATTAATGATGATGACAGTCTTGGAATTCCAACTCATTAGTTCTCTGTAAGAATAATGACACGAAGGGCATGTGACATGAAACTTTATCACTTTATTTTTTCTTTTCAAGAATTAATAGTGTTAAGCAAGTTTACACAATTGATTCACATTATAAATTTCATGTCACCCACCCCAAGTAGTTGGGATTGAGGTGATGACGATGACTATTCATTGCTACTTCGATTGAAGTATTCATATTTTTTGTGTTTTATCCTTAACATAAAGGGTTTTGCAACGGTGGGCTGATCATGTGCTGTCTTCTGAACATGACATTTGGAGGTACAATTCTTAATTCTGCTCTAGAGTTCTTATCCTACTTTAAAACAGTTTAATATTTATTTTGAGTACGTTATTACTTGCTTTCCCTCCATAATCAACAATTCAGATAAAAAATTATTTCCCTTTTTTAATCTTTCCTCTTTTCAAACACAAGAGGTGATAATTAGAAAATAAACTTTATTTTCTCTCCTTAATTACCTCTACCCAAACACAAGAGGTGATAAGAAAACAACAACAAACCCACTCCCAGTATACTCCCACAGCACAGTAGTGAGAAGATGTGGGTCACAAACCTTATATCTATTTGGAACTAGAGAGGCTATTTCCAAAAGACCCTCGGCTCGGCACAAAAACACATAAAGTAAAGACAACATTAGATTTAGAGCTCAGGAAGCACACATGCTTAAGCCACAAAACCTAGGCAACAAGGCAGACCAACTATTACAAATTAAGGCCTCTAGAGCGCTCATATCTAAGGCGATATAAAATTTATTTTTTCCTTATTTTCCTCTTGTGTGAAAGTCATCCTGCAGTCACTTAGGGCACCCATACTTGTCTCTTGTGGTGCTTCTAAGGACTCGTGTGGTGCTTCTTAGGGCACCCATACTTGTCTCGGACTCCAATTTCTCTTCTTAATGTCTTGTCTTAAATCTCAATGCTGATGAATTGCAGGGCACTTGTCTTGTATGTGGCAGCCGGTGCATTCCAAGAGGCATTGGCTGCACTCCGTGAGGCCCAACAACCGGACACAGCAGCCATGTTCATCCTGACTTGCCGTGAAACTCATGCCGAACTACTCTCCGGTTTTGACATTGACGACAAAGCCATAGCATCTGTCAAGGATAAGTTGGTTAGTTTGCCCGGACTGAGCCCTGAAAGCGAAGATGCTATGGCAGTGGTTGAATATTATGGGCAATACCAACGAAAACTAGTCCATCTTTGCATGGACTCTCCACCTTTCTTCGACTAAGCAGACCTTTGTTGTGTGTTTTTCTCTCTCTCTGAGAGAGAGAGAGAGAGAGTTATTTAGAGGGGGTTTGGGGGTGTAGTGGCTTTTTGGAAAAGCATGAATGAAAAGTCTTGAACTGAAAAACAAACACGGGTGTTTGCGGTTTTGCTTGAAAGTTGCTTTGAAGTTTCTGCTTCGCCTCGCTTCCACTTATAGATTATGACTTTAGAAATTTAAATTAGGTTCTTGAAGTGCTTTTAAGCAAAGCTAAGACTCTGTTTTCCGTTTCTACTTATAAATATACCATCTTAGTCTTAGTTTTGCCAAAAATTACTTTTGGAGCTTAATTTCCAGTTCTATAGTCACAATTCTTAAGCTAAAGCAGATTGTCAAACGTACACTATAAACTATATTTTGATGAATCAGAAGCTCAAAAGTTGTTTTTGAGCACAATCTCAAATACTCTCTTAGGGTCTATGTGGTACACTGGATTGGAATTGAATTAGGAGTTGAAATTCTATGGATTTGATTTGGATGGAATTGAATTCTCCAATTCCAATTCATTTTTGGCACTACCAATTCCAAATCCACATATTTTTATGCCATCAAATAGCAAAAATGAAATTGTTGTCTCCAATTCCAATTCCATGGATTGAATTCCGTGTACCAATAGGCTAGAATGGGCTCATTTTCTCTGTTAAATTATTAGATTTTTCTCTGTTAAAGGTATCCTCTTGGACTTCTTGACTTATTTAATGTATCCGTCTAGAACCACTTTGTATACGTCTGTAAATTTGAATTATTCTTTTCTTACTTCTTGACTAATTTAATGTATACGTCTATTAAAAACTCTATTGCCTCTTGGAGTATTACTCTATTAAATTTGTGTTGAACTGTATTATTGTTGCATTTATACGTTTTGTTGCGCAGCTCTACAGCTTATATATCAGCCTAAAAACTGTAATGAGTTGGTGATTCTGTTTACTATCTTTAGTGGCGGGTTCTTACGGGGAGTTTGTAGCTAAGATATGATTGCTTCACTAAGTAATTCCTTTGAAAAATGAAGCAACTGATGTTCCTTATGTGCTCCAAATAAGTTCAACATCTCTCTTTTTTAGGTGATGCAATTCCACAAGAATTTACCACTAAAGATGCTCTAACATATTTTCTCTGTTCCAAAAAGATTGTCACAGTTTGACTTTCTCATATCCCAAATGATATTTTAAAATTTTGAAGAGATCCAATTTTTTATTATTAGCTTTCTTTTGCAAAATTATTGTCCTTGCTCATTATACTCAATAATACTCCGTAATAAATAGGTCACGCATGTTTTCATTCACTATCTTTTATTTTCTTCGTTCTAATTTAAATTGCTCATTCCGATTTATGATATTTGATTCAAATTACTTTTAATTTATTTCATATGAAAATAGGTGTGGGTACTCAAATGATTAATTTTTAACCCTATAAATAATGAATATGCAATTTAAATTGGGATGAAGAAAATATATTTTGGTAATTACTTTTTTTACTTAAATTGGGACTCAAAGATTATATTTTGGTATTATATATTTTGGTATCATTGACATTGTACCGCTCCACCATTTTGGATAAAAGAAAATATGAAACTTTAATTTTGGTACTTTCTCCATGTTTCGTTTCTATTTTAGTATTTTTTCCAACTCACTGTACCTGACTGGTTCGAGTATAAATAATCAGGTCTTGCTAATTTACACCATCAGAATGAGTTATTCTTATCATCTTATTCTTTTCTGATTATTTTTATGTTATTGACTCGACTAAAATATTGTATATATTCATACCTTTTTCAAATTAATGACGCATTATGAATAATACCTCTATCTCTGTTGAGACTTGTAATTTGGGTGAGCTTTTCTTTTTCTAAAAGAATATATGGATAGTCTAAAAAATTTCTCTTTTCTAAATAAGCTTTGACAACTTATTTATTATTGCTCCCACGTTCCGCGGTAGATTGTAACTTTTTTTCATTTCATAATTTCATACAGTAGATTGTAACTTTTTACTTCTTTAATTTGTGTGATTCTATTAATTACGGAGTATTTGATTTTATTTCATATTTTGTAAAACATTTAATATAATTTTTTAATATAAATAATTTATTTTTTATTCATATATCAATTTTTAAATAAAAGAATTTTTAAAGATTGAATTTTACCTCGTAATTTTTAAATTGTAATCTAATTTGGAAATCATGAAATTAAAGTGCCTAAATTAATATGGGAGGACAATGTGGCGTGGTAGTCCTTATTCCTTATCATGCAGAGAAATTCTGAGACGCCACACGTTGACGTGTCACAATTCAACCAATCGAAAACAGCCTTGTCATGCAGTGGCATGCCAGTGGAGTGGCATGCTCTACAATGGCAAGTTATAATTTTTTCAATGTTTACATTTTTTGACATATTTTAATTAGTCCAAGTATATTTATTTTTATTTTTTTGTAATTATATATAATTTAATTCTTCAAAATTATTTTAAATTGTGTAGTCTTGGATATAATGTTAATTTAATTATTCAAAATTATTTTAAATTATTTAGCTTTAGAACCAAGGATTACGTTATTAGTTTTTTAAAAAGGGAGTTTAATTTTTATTTTTTATTTTTTTTGAAGGAAGAGGGTTTTATTTTTAGATACAAAAAAAGATGGAAAAGAAACAAATACAAGACTGAAAGTGAGGCAAAAAATAGATGTACTCTATAGAATTCTTTTTTTCTTATAAGAAAAAAACATTTTTTTAAATCCAAAAAACAAAATTTAAAAAATAATATGGAAGTTTCACCTTTTGTAACTTTTTATATTTTTTAGATGTTTATTACTCCGTATTATAAATTAGTTTTCATATATTTGTATCATAAAAATATATCTATAAAAATAACTAATTAAGAAGTACTAGTATTTCTTCTTTTTTCCAAAAGAAAAAAAAGAAAAAGAATTGGAGCAAGTAGCCTCGCACATGCCACGGAAAGAGGAGTAAGCAAGTCATGCCTCGCCCAAATCAACCGTGTCAAATCCTATGTGGCATGCGTGGCAGTGGCTTTGACACGCCACTGCCCATGCTCTTAATTGCTATGGACTAGGGAGTATGGATTACGGTGATTTTTAATTTTAATTTTAATTAGTTTAAATAGTACTCCTAAATTATTGTTCTTCTAAGAAATCTAAAATTCAGGAACCTTAGCAGATCAGTAAACAAATAAACAATCGCCATCCTCAGTTTTCCTCCCTCCAGCTTGGATCTTTGCAGAGATAAATTTACAGTCTTGGGATTTCGGATAAATAAACAAAACCCGATTATATATTTATATACATAAAGATATATTTGTGAATGATCGGAATCGGAGAGCGGTTTCTGATCTCGGAATTTCCATCTTTGTTCGCCTGTAACTCGATCTGCATGAACGGTGGAACGGCGAGTGAGGGATTGTTGTTGTGAAGGTTTTGTGGCGGTGGATTTCCCCCCAACATGTCTGCCATAGTGTGCGGCAAGAGATCGAGCTTCTTTGAGGATTTGCCGTCACCGTCGCCGTCGTCAGCTGCATCGCCGTCGTCCCCTCCGAGCGCGAAGAGGATCCGCTGTTCGTCTTTCTCTCCACCCAGATCCGTAACCAGTTTCTTCTCCGTCTCATCGCCGCTGGGTCATTTGATTGCTCGCTTCCCGAGCATGGACAAAGAGGTTCTTTTTTCTTTTTGTTGTAAATATAAAAAATTGTTCAAAGTTTGTGTTTTTAGATGTTTCGAATGGAGGATTTGGACTTCTAAATTGTTTATTGGAATTATGATGTGATTTTATTCCATTTCTCTTTAGCATTTTGCATATTCTTGATGTTGTGCTGATTCAATAATAAAAAATGTATCCACTATATGGTTGCCAGAAAATCGGTTTTGGATTAGTTTTCAGTTTTCTTTACAAAAATGTTACAAAGGGATACTTAGAATAGAGGAAAAGCTTGCGAATTTGTTTGCGGGAATCTTTATTTGGAAATATTGATTTGCAGTTGCTAGAAAAGGCGCTTCATGAATGTGGAAATGATCTTGATTCGACCATTAAGAGCCTAAATGAGCTTTTTTTGGGATCTGGCGAGAATGCCACCACACCTGCAGGAAAGGCTGATGCCACCTCAGAGTCCAGCAGACATGTTTTGAATCAAGGTGCATTTTATTTCCTTTCCCGATTTAGTGCTGAATGTTTTGCATTGTCTAGTGTTGAGTGATTTGCATTGTTGCTTTGCATGTTGTTTTTTGCTGTTGATTTTCGGTGTTAATGATTTTCAATACATCCATTGGGTAAATGAGCTTAAGATTTTGTATAAAAAAATGCAATAAATAAATTAATAAAATGAGTTCAAATAAATGTCTAAAATTTATTTTATTGAGTTTGATCTAATCTTTTTATTTCCCCCCTAAAAAATTATCCTTCCTAATTTTCCCTCTATGTCCATCATACAGAGTAATTGTTCCCCGGGTTCCAAATGGAACCCATAGACAGGGCCATAGTGTTTGTTCTTATGCAGATTGCACTTGACACTATTTTTGTAACAAAGCTGTTGAAACTGTGAATTTACTCACGTTATAATTAAGCACACAGGTTATAATGAATACATAAATTATCTTGTTTTGCCTCAAAGTCGAGCATGCTTGCGCAAGAATTATTGGGTCATATCCATGTTTCTATGTTCTTACGGTGTTACCACTTCATCACAATTCATAAGCACTATGCATAATGCCTAAGCAAGTGGTTTGGAATTCATACAGGGGCAGAGACAGGACTGGACTTGTAATTTTAAATTAATTACATATAGAAGAAAGAGAATAGTGGATCTAACTTGGGATGGTCTGGGGCCAAGCACCCTAAATCAAACCCTGCAAAAACATCATCTGAATTATCATCTGTCATTGTATATAATTTTACTCCCTCTACCCCAAAATAAACAATACTTTTATTTTTGGTCTGTTCTAAAATAGAATTCTATTTCTTTTTTTGGTAAGGAATATATGGCCATCATTATTTCTCTCTTTCAAATCAATTCCAACCACAAATTTTTTATTTTTCAACACTTTTTGTTGAGCTTTTTAATTTGGAACGGAAGGAGTATAAAACATTGAACCAAGTGACTATTCTATTGTTTCTATGTGTGGGAGTTTCTTTGTATGATGCATGTGAATTAGAATCAGGATTCACAGTGGTTGTTAAAGTTATTTCATTGCATCGTTTGCAGGCTCAACAAGTAATGGGGATGTCTCCCCTCAAGAGCAAACACCCGCAAATAACCAACCCAACCCTTTAAATAGGGAAGAATTTGTTGACATTTTTGTTAGAGAAATGATGATTGCCTCTGATATAGATGATGCTAAAGCCCGTGCTTCGCGGGCCCTTGAGGTTCTTGAGAAGTCCATTTGTATGCA